CCCCCCCGCAGTCCTTGTCCTTGGGATCGTCCTGCTGAGATACCTACACCCACCAGCTCCTTGGGGTATCTAGAACCTCCCAGCTGCCTCCCTGACTCATCCGTTGGGCTACCTGGAACCTCCTCCCATCTCCTGCCCTGTGGAGCATCCAGTTGGGACAAGAGGGTTTAGGTACCCCATGATGAGCCCGTTGGGGTACCTAGAACCTACCTGCATCTGCCCCATGGAGTAGCCCACTGGAGTACCTAGAGCCTGTTGTCCTGTGATGAGCCCATTGGGGTACTTAGAACCCTCCCCAGACCTCCTGCCCCATGGAGCACACTGTTTGGGTACCTAGAACCCTTCCAGACCTCCTGTCCCATGAAGCACCTTGTTGGGGTACCTAGAACCCTCCCTGAGCTGTCACATGGAGCACTCCATGGGGTCCCTAGAACTTCTTGCCCTACAACGGAGCCTGTTGGGGTACCCAGAACCCCCTGCACCCCAGCAGAAAAAGACCCTCCCCCAGCCCCGTACCTTGAGCTTGGCGCCATCGAGGTGCAGGAGCCGCGGACCATCGACGCCGTGGGCCGAGAACTCTAGCCCCCCCAGCCACTGTCCCACCTGCTGGCACGTCCAACCTGCGGCCGCGCCGGGGGGCTCATCCAGGAACTGGGCGCAGGGGGTTGGGCGTTAACAGGGGGTCCCCACGGCACCTGGGGGGAGGGGACACCCCCCAACCTCTTGCCCCCCCGCCCCCTCCCGGGGCTCACCTCATCCGAGGACTGTGACAGGGTGTGGTACCCCCCCAGCCACTGTCCCACCTGCTGGCACGTCCAACCTGCGGCCGCGCCGGGGGGCTCATCCAGGAACTGGGCGCAGGGGGTTGGGCGTTAACAGGGGGTCCCCACGGCACCTGGGGGGAGGGGACACCCCCCAACCTCTTGCCCCCCCGCCCCCTCCCGGGGCTCACCTCATCCGAGGACTGTGACAGGGTGTGGTAGGGGTAGGAGCACTTGGTGGCGGTGGGGCCGGGCAGGCGCGGGCTGGCGCTGGGCGGTGGGGAGTCCTCGCTCAGCGTCGAGTCCTGGGGCAGCAGGAGGGGTGAGGGTAGGGGTAGCCCTGGAGCCCCTAAAATAGCCTGTAGCCTCCCAGCACCCTCCCTGTAGCCATCCTCCCCATAGGGCTCTGACTCCCTATAGGGCTACAACACCCTGGGGGGGCTTTGATCGCCCCCTAAAGCCACCTTGGTCCTATGGGACTCTGTCCCCCGTCCCTACAGCTGGCTCTGAGCTCTTCTCCTCATGGGAGCACCAACCTCCTGCCCTATAGGGCTCCGTACCCTCCCCTATACCCACCCACCTACAGCCCTGGGAGCCCCCCACTCCTGGGCACTGACCTGGGAGGCGGATTTGGCGGGGCTGAGCCCCTCGTGCCGGGGGGAGCCGGCGGGCGACGCGGAACCGGGGGAGGCTGAGCCCCTCGCGCCGTCCGAGAACCAGGAGAAGGGCAGGAAGGGTGACCCCGAGGGGCGGCCGGGACCCTCTACTGCCTCCCTGGGGACAGAGCAGCGTTAAGACCCCGGGGGGGTCTCCCCAGGCAGCCCCCTGCCCTGCCCCAGGGTGGGGGTCCCTCACCTGCTGCCCATGGACAGGCGGTTGCTGCCCTTCTCCTTGCGGCTCTTGCTGGAGGAC